TTATAAATAATACATGTAAACATATATTCATTTAATGAGTACTGTGTGCCAGGCCCCGTGTCTTTGTGGAAGTTACTGTTATCTCTATTCTACAGATGGGAAATTACGGCTTAGAAGTTTAAATGACTTGTCCAAGGTCACACTACAGAGTAGTGGACTGCAAATTTAAACACAGGAAGCCTGGCTCTCCAGGCTCAAACACTTTATGCCTGAATTTTCATAAATATGTCATATTTGAAAGTCTAGGAATGGTATATGGATGAATATATGATTTTACTGAAAGGGATGAAAATTCAATTTAAATTAGCCTTTAATTTAATAAATATCGAACACCCACTGTGTGCCAGATATTAGGTGACTCCTAGAAGGCTCGAGATGGTAATGAAGATGTTTGGGGGGTAGGTTTTAGAGACTAGTAGAGAATGATAGGACTGGGAGAATGATTGTCACACATTTCCCAAAACTAATCATGTAGTGCCTCCTTCCCCCCTCCTATCAGCCATTTGCTGCGGCTTAACCTGCAGCCAGGAAATGAAGCGTTGGGGCAGGGGGATATGGGTCATTTTTCTGACTCAAATTTTCTCATTAGGGTATGCCAGTGTTCCAGGAGTCACAAAACAAGACATCATAGTTAATATTGTATAACAGCCTGCAATTTAAAAGAGCGCTTTCATACACATTGTCATTTGAGACTTACAAAACTCCTTGAGGCAGGAGGAGGGCACATATTATGTCTTCTGGAAATGAGGGAACTGAGGTCCAAAGGGATTAAGTGGCTTGCCCGAGGACATACTACTGATGAGTAGCTCTTAACACTAAAAACACCAGTTCCTTTTATTGCAACCAAGTGTCTTGATAGTAAATGTAATTTAAAATGTTGGTGATGACTAAGAAAACCCTTCAAAATTTTACACAGCCTAAAATATTAAGTGATCATCGGTAGCATTCTTTTGATACAAGAGTATGCAATAAGAGGACTATGAGTTTAAGAACCTGTTTTAGAAATTCTTTCAAATAAATCCATGATATGAGCATTTGCCATTTTTCTTCCTTTTTATGAATGCACAGATTCTTGTTAATAAATAAGCCTGCATTCACGGTAAGTATAGAATAACTACTATGAAGCTAAGGTATGCCAGTACCAATCCTAGGCATGTTATGCATATTAACTCATGTATATATAATCTTTTTAGTCAATGCTGTCAGTCACTATGTTAAACTTTTTATGTGCTTTACTTCGTTCAGTCACAGCCACCAACTCATTATTCCTAATTCACAGATGAGGAAATTGAGGCTAAGAGAGTAAACTACTCAAGGTCACACAGCTAGTACGTGGCAGCGCCAGTAGTTTTCACTGCATACTCTATTAGCTGATATATCAATAGTAGGTACAGTCTTGGTGAAACTGCTATTGTATGTACTTCTCCCAAGTCTCCCAACACTTTGTCCTTTTGATACGTAGGTGGCAGAGATTTGTAAGGTGCCCGAGACCTGGGAACTGGCTGAAGATGCATGCACTCCAGTTTTGTCCTTGTATGAATATTCTGACTAAAATTTCTTTTTGTCAGAGCCTACTTAGTTGTGATTTCATGCAGAGTTTTCCAGGAGCACAGTCCAGGCCAGCCTTGACATGAGGATAAGTTCTTTCCCAATTTGGACATGTAGCTGCTTCCAGGATCTGTTAGTGAAAACAAAACTACCCCTCTGTGGCAAGAGAAGTATTGTCAGATGAAATATTAAAAAACATGAAAGATAAAGTGAGATGGTACAGCATTTTTCTAACCGGAGTTCCAGAAGAAAAATAATAGCGTGGGAGACAGGGAATATTCAAAGATACAATGAGTAAGAATTTTCTAGAACTAATGGAAAAGTTGTAGACAAAAGATTTATATGTGAGTTTAAGCATAGCAGTAGCTGACAGACAGTACGCATACAACTTAAATAAACTAAATAGAGATCTAGGTTCAGCTTTTTAAAAGAAAAAATTAAAACTAAAGTGTAGTCCATACACTAAACAGATGTACAATGCCAAAGGAAGCATTAATTGCCTTAAAGGAGAGGAAAGGGAAAGTTGTTAAGGAAACAGTTCGTGCCAAAGGGATTGGGTTTTGAAAAGGATCACCAAGTAGAAAAGAGTCAGGAAGAAAGAATGTTACAGGAAGAGGGAATACAAAGGAAAAGCCCATGCCCCCTCCCCCCGCACAAAAAAAATCCCTGAAATCTTTTTTTTTTTTTTTTTTTTTGTTGAGACAGAGTCTCACTGTGTTACCCGGGCTAGAGTGCTGTGGCGTCAGCCTAGCTCACAGCAACCTCAAACTCCTGGGCTCAAGCGATCCTCCTGCCTCAGCCTCCCGAGTAGCTGGGACTACAGGCATGTGCCACCATGCCCGGCTAATTTTTTTTTCCTATGTATTTTTAGTTGTCCAATTAATTTCTTTCTATTTTTAGTAGAGACGGGGTCTCGCTCTTGCTCAGGCTGGTCTCGAACTCCTGAGCTCAAACAATCCGCCCGCCTCAGCCTCCCAAAGTGCTAGGATTACAGGCGTGAGCCACGGCGCCCGGCCCCTGAAATCTTTATATTCTAAAGAATGACATTTGATCTTTACTATGAATTAAATAGAATATACATAAAATGTATATACAAAGTTCTATACAAAATGAAATCTGATTTTCACAGGGAAAATAATGCCCTGGCAATTTCTATTATGTATTTTTAAAAAAAGCCTTGTGGGAGGGGAAAAAAAACAAAACACAACACTTAGAAGTTCCATCTAATTTTATTTGGTTTCCTTTAATGGCAAAATATTCTCTTCATATGATGGGTTTATTATTATTATTTTTTTTTAGAATGTCTCCTTTTAATCTATTTTGTTAACTCCGTGAACTTACTATCGTAAGTTCATTGTGGTAAACGAAACCCTCCTAAAAAGGAGAACAGCATTCAGTTCTCTATATAGTCTTACAATTGAATACAGTTGTTGAAAATTTAATCTCTTCTTTCAGCATCTTCTCATTTACCAATCACATGATTCATCTGTGTCATTTATCTAAATACTAGAGTCATGGTTTGTGTTTTTAACATAAACATTTCATATTAGTGCCAACTCAGTCTCTTTCATATGTTCGAGGCCTTAGTTTATCTGAGAGTTTGCTAACATAAAATATTCAAGTAAACTGTGAAATGGTACTGGAAGAGGGCCTGATACTGCATTACTACTGCTTTGTAGAATATTGTATTTAATGGTATTCTCCAGCCAAATTTGTCACATGAGATTCTTAACCAGCTCTTTTTTACTGGCTTGTAGAAACACAAAGTTCAACATATATCTAATGACTTGAAGAATAAAGCCACTCTTGTGATTTTGCAGCCTATCAGTGCTATTTTTGGTTATAACAGGTGGGTGACGGAAGGGGAAAAGGCATAAGTGTGGTTGGAGTGAGGAAAGGGAATCCTTTTATGGAACTGACATGTGCTAGAACATTGGTGAGGTTGTTCCTTCTGTGTTTACTTAGGGCAGCAACCAGGGTTAGGTCTTTCACGATCTTGTATTTCTAGGACCATCCAAATATTGGCGATAGGTCTGTCACTATTTCATTTTGTGAAAGCTGGCAACTTAGTTACTGCTGTAATCTATAATAAGAATGTGCCCTGGAAATAAAGCACTTTAAATATACAAGGTATTTTTTTTCCTCTTGTTCTCGTGATTCTACAACCTAGTTATTTAATGACTGGGTATGTTTAGGTGTATGTGTAGTGAGTGCATGTGTGTGTAGTTGGAGGAGGTAGGGAAAGTAGTGCTTTTATAGTTTGATTAAGGCTTTATACCAAAAAACTACAGAAATTTGAGAAAAGATGTCTTAAATTTGAGAAAAGATGAAAAAGCCCCCATCACTGCCACTGTTACAGTACTGGAGGACCATAAAGAAAAAAATAAGAGGTATCGGATTGAGAAGCAAGAGATAAAAACTGTTGCAGATGATCTGATCATCAACCTAGAAGAACCCATAGACTCAACAGACTGACCATTAAAATGAGTAAAGGGAAAACAAAAGTGCCAAGTAAAAAAAGAAACCAAAAAAAAAAAAATTCCCAAAACAACAAAAAAATAAAAAAAGTAATTATTCACAGTAACAACAGTATCCATAAAGGATCTAGAACTCTCAAGAGTCCACAAGACTACTATGAAGACTACTTCAAAACTCTAGTAAAGTATATAGAAGATCTAAAATAATGAAGAGCTATATGCCTGTGAATGGAGTGGCAACATTATAAAGATACCAAATTTCTCCCAATTTTTTAAGAAACCCAATAAACTTACTCTAGAGTTTAATGGGAGAATAAAGGTCCACAAACACCTAAGTTACCTTTAAAGATTGGGGGGCCTTCTTTACCAAGTATTAAGGCATAGTACAAGGCCAGTGCTATTAAAAAAAAAGGTATTGGTGTAAGAACAGTGAAATATACTAATGTATGGAATAGAGATTTTAGAGGTAAATTTAATATACAACTCACTGGGGAAAATGGCTTAGTATTTGTAGAAAAATAAAGTCCTTAACTATTTAATACATGAAAATGTAGGAAAATATCTTATGACGTAGGGGTGAGGAAGACTTCAAAAGCATAAACCTTAAGGCAAAACAAACAAAAAAGATGAATTTGATCACATCAAAATAAGGTTCTCTGTTCAGTGAAGGACATCCCAGACAAAGTTCATATATGAAGGATGAGAGATGGTTGCAGTGTCTGTAACCAATAAGGAATTAATATCTTGAATATGCAAATCAATAAGAGGATAGTAACTCCTGTTTAAACAAAGAAAAAACAAAATAGGAAGTCTATGAACAGGCTAACAAGAATACAGAAATGTCCAAAATTATTAATAATGAAAAATGCAAATTAAAACTGACATATCAGTGTACATCTGTTAGACTGGCAGCAAATCGAAAGTTGGCAAATGTTGAGTGTTGGTAGGGCTGTAGGGATGTGGAGACTCCTTTGCTGTGGAGAGTGGACTGGCACAGCCATTCTGGAAAATAATCATATTAAGTCAGATTCAGGGTACACATATCCTGTGTCTCAGCAATTCTGCCCTGGCATATATACTGAAGGAAATTCTTACCCAGGTCCTTAAGTGGACACGCATTCATCGAAGTGTTATTTATAGTACTGAGAAGTTGGTGGACAACCCGAGTGTCCATCTCTGGGAGAGTGGAGCGGTAAAATCAGGTAGGGGTACACACGGAGTTTTGAGTATTTAGAAGCATCTGACTAGATGGACACATGGGAATCTGGATGGTCCTTAATAAAGTAAGTGAAAAAAAAACCAAAACAGAATGAGATATAAATGTAAAATGCATAAACAGTACAGATTTTGTAAGAACAAATACAAATAAACACTAAATAGAATGATTGCCTGATGGCAAGGAAGGAAAATGGGAGTGAGACAAGTGGATAAAAAAAGAATAGAAAAGTGAAAGAATTTTAAAACATGGATGAAGAATTTTTGAAAGTGTTCCTACTGATCATTAAACTTGACTTGGATTCAGTGAAGATGAAGAAAATTAATAGGAAGAACATCCTTCAAATAACAACTGTTTTCCCAATTTCTGTAGGGTTGAAGCTTTGAGAGAAGCAGCAACTGCTGTTGAGCAAGAGAAAGAAATCCTCCTGGAAATGATCCACAGTATCCAAAACAGCCAGGACATGAGGCAGATCAGTGACGGTGAGAGCCATTTCCACAGAAGGGAACTCGTCTTTTGCACCCCTTTATGGGGTTTATGATCAGTGCGGGTCGGTTTTTGCTTGACTTTTGGTATGCGTACTCCAGGCTTCAGTATTTAATGTGAGCTGCGGAGAACAGCTGCAGCTGTCAGTTTATTACAACATCCACTTGCCCAGCGATCATTCTTTCCAGCGCGCTCCCTACCCCCAGATCAGGCTGGAACGATAGGAAAAGGCCCGCTCGCTCCAGAAGAGCTAGCCCCAAGCAGTAAGGCCATGTGTTTCACCTCAGGTTCACATTCCTAACTTCAGTTCTTTGCGAGTTACTGGAGTGCAAGAGATACCAAAGCAGAGTGAAAGCGGAGAAGTAAACACAAAAGAAGATGGATTGAGGTGTAACATAAAGAGAGGAAAAGGAGAAAATGAGGTAAATTATGGGACCAGTAAAATCCATTAATGTAAAAATGTGCTCTTCGTTTTCACATGAAGAGCATGACCACTGACGTTCTTTCATTGCCACTGGGCTTCCTAAGTAGGCTCCTTTGGTGCCCCACAGGACAAGCTAGTGGGCCAGGCAGCTGGTGAGACGAGTGTGCAGTCCGACTCCAGACCAGAACTGCTAACACATCCCCAGCAGGTCATCATCTAGTCTGTTTCTGCATTCTGGCCAAAGAGCAATGAATTATTAGGAAGGAAGTTACGGAATAGGGCCAGCAGGAGATTGCTGACTTTTTCATATAAGTAATGAAATGTTCACAGAGCTGCTTTTACCATCATTGCCTCCTTGTGTTTGCCAAGACCTAGACCACTGGCCTGCTTAAATCTGTCTGGAGGAGATGAAGTCAGTGCCTAGTTTTGTGGCCAGCTTATCTTCTACTATAATGGCTACGTTTTCTCAGCCAAAATTTGGGGCAGTGTATAAACATATGTGTCCTTATGAAGAGATCTGGGACATCTGATTTCTGAAGCTCTGCCGCACCAACTCTGTGCTTACTGCTCGCCCTGTGTCAGGACTTGGTCTCTATCCCAGTTGCAAATGCATACCTGCCCAAGCTTTTGCAGATGTACTAACTTGAGCAGTCATCTGGTATGCCACGTATAAAGATTTTCAGGGAAAAGTATTTATTCTACCACCTCTCTCTGCAATCTAATACACTTCATCAGTTAATCTTATATGCTATAGTTCTAGCTTTTACCTTTAAAAATTCCATAGCAGAAATACTTACAGAAAATAATAAATTTGGCCACAAATTAATGCCTTAGTGTTCTTGACATAGGTAAGTTTATGTCTCATACTGATTGGTATTTCAAAACTTTTTATGTTTAGGAGAAAGAGAAGAATTAAATCTGACGGCAAACCGTTTGATGGGACGAACTCTCACCGTTGAAGTTTCAGTAGAAACAATTAGAAACCCCCAGCAGCAAGAATCCCTAAAGCATGCCACGAGGATTATTGACGAGGTAGTCAATAAGTTTCTGGATGATTTGGGAAATGCCAAGAGTCATTTAATGTCGCTCTACAGTGCATGTTCGTCTGAAGTGCCACCGGGGCCAGTTGATCAGAAGTTTCAATCCATAGTAATTGGATGTGCTCTTGAAGATCAGAAGAAAATTAAAAGAAGATTAGAGACTCTGCTTAGAAATATTGAAAACTCTGATAAGGCCATCAAGCTGTTAGAGCATTCTAAAGGAGCTGGTTCCAAAACTCTGCAACAAAATGCTGAAAGTAAATTTAATTAGTGTTCAAAGCGAAGAGCACTTACAAATAATGATGTAAAAATGATAAAATACTATTTTAAGTGATAACTAGTTCTATATGTTAGGTGTAACCACTTGTTTGATACTGACAGTTGTTTCAGATGAGGAAAATTATTCCATCCAGTGTCATCAGTTTTGTGAATAACAAAACTAGAAATATTTTAATTATCGATCTAGAAGTTTTTAGATTGCATTTTTGTCTTGTACTAGGGTCTAGCACATTATATATATTTTACTATTCTGTGGATGAATACATGGTATGTGAGGAAAAATAAGTGCTCATCTAGGAGCAAAAGCATCACTGCTCTTTCTGGGGCTTTCTCTGGCGTGGA